TTCACCGCATTGAGGGGCAAATGGACGGGGCCATGTACTGTAAAATCTTGGACGAGAACCTCCTTCCCTCAGCCAGAACACTGAAGATGGGTCATGGATAAATCTTCAAGGATTACAATGACCATACCGCCAAGGCAACAAAGGAGTGGCTCAAGAAGAAGCACATTAAGGTCATGGAGTACCCTAGCCAGTCTTCAGACCTCAGTCCTATAGAAAATCTGTGGAGGGAGCTGAAACTTTGGGTTGCCAAACGACAACCAAGAAACCTTAAGGATTTAGAGAGGATCTATAAAGAGGAGTGGATCAAAATCCCTCCTGAGATGTGTGCAAACCTGGTGACCAACTACAAAAAAACATCTTACCACTGTGCTTGCCACCAAGGGTTTCTGCACCAAGAACCAAGTCATGTTTTGCTTGGGGATCAAATACTTATTTCACTCACTGAAATGCAAATCAATTTCTAACCTTTATATAATGTTTTTTTCTGGATTTTTTGGTTGGTATTCTGTCTATTCGTTAAAATAAACCTACCATAAAAATTACAGACCCTTCAATTCTTTGTAAGTGGGCAAACTTACAAAATCAGCAGGGGATCAAATAAATATTTTCCCCACTGTACTTGCAATAGCTCCACTTTAGCACAATCAGATATACCTCAGTATATCTTTAGTTGGACGTTAGCACTACTTCTGCACAATTAAAGTGCATTAAGCACTAAATTAGTTGTTCCAATTTAAGTATACCAGTTTGGTATACCAAAAGTACAATTGTAGGGTATTTTTATTAAGTACATAAATATGTAAATATATTTGTAGTATACTTGGCATGAAATAAATGTATTTCAAATACATTTTAGTATATTTATTTTTCACTAAGGTGTAACTGCTGGTGTTGCCAAGTTCCGTGGAATTGGGCTACTTTAACACTGTTGCCACAGGTTGTCATGTCCGCGGATTTAAGCGACCCCAATAACGTAATATTTAGCCCCTAAAATGTGAATTTTACCAGGGGAACCCTACCAAAAAACGTGTATTTTACCCCCCGGAACGTGATTTTTACTGGGGGACCCCCCCTTGAAACGCGTTTGGTCTTGTTTTGGGCTAGTTTTTAGTAGCAGTTGGGCAGGTTTTGTTGTGAAAACCTGGCAACTCTGGTAACTGCCTTACTTTAATGGTAACATTGTTATTTATTTAAAGTTGCGATGAAACGAAATAAGAGACAGATGATCAGATCATTTCTTTTGTATTGTGACTTACATCTGTGTGATATAAATGATCAGAAATAATTTAGAGAGGGGACTTGGTTCTATGCATTGTAAATTTATTTAATCATATATGAATGCAAGCTTGAGGTCGAATTTAAGAAAGTGTTTTAAGCAGACTAAATTATTGGAAAAGTCCAGCATACAAAGATCAAGTTAAACAGTTAAATCAATAGCAAACATTTAAAATAGAGTGAATTTTCATTTCATGCGGACTTTAAAGAAAAGGAGGAATGGGTCAAAATAATGTTTCATGCCACAAATTCTGTTGATTGAGCTTACTGTATCTTGTATTGGCTTAAATTGAGCATTAAAACCTGAAATTCTTAACAACCGCCTTCCATTTTGCCAAAATCTGAAATCTGGTGTTCATCTCTACCCCCACCTGTCTTGTTACAAATCAGGGATAACCCATATGGCAAACTGACAGATTAACTTTAAAGAGAGCTGGATTTCAGCGCACCGTCATCAGGGCTATTTTGCTTTGACAGTTTTTTTTCCCTAAAAATGTTGTAACCCTGTAAAACACTGGGGTAAAAATACCAGTTCCATATGAGCTGACTGAAAGCCATAGAGGTTTTCCACACAAAGCATGTTTTACACAAGCTTATACACGTTTTAATACTCTCTCCTCTTGTTCATGACAGATGGGTCAGGCTACTCAGGACTGTTTTGGAATCTGCTCAATGAGTTAATCCATGAGCGATGTTGTCAGTCATCGCTAGATCTAATATAAACTGTGTAAGTCAGCCATTCCTTTAACTTAGCAAACAGGTCCTGCATCTTACAGTCAGCTTTTAAATATTCATCGAAACTAGAGATTAATTAAAGGATGGACAGTATTATTAGCATTATGTGAGAGCTTGCATACATTTACTATTTTTAGCTTAATTAGTCTACAGAACACAAGTATACTGTAGAGAACACAAACAGCGCACACATACAACATCTTACATCTAGGTCCTCACATTTATTAGAAATGACTGCATGAGAATGCGCTCTTCTGCCTTTGTTTTAATAGTCTTAAAGTGATTGTTGACTGTAGAGAGGATGTTCTTTTTTCCCGAAAGTGCTAAAGTTATCACACTGGAATACTTACGGACTAAAATTTACTGACTTTGCTCACACAGGGTATACTAACGACTTCCTACGCCTATGTACAATTTGTTAAAAAAAGACGTATACAAAATCTGTGCTAATTGAAATAAGTTGACAAAATGATTTAATTGAAGATTTGGTGATAATATAGCATAATTAGAGATTAACAAGCAATTTTTAAAAGGCTGGTCATTTTATACCAGCGACACCAAATTACGTAAAGGATTTTCTGCAAAGTGCAAAGGTTTAAGTTTTGCGTAAACCCTGTTTTGCATTATTTCCACACTGTGCCTAAACCAGGCAAAACGATAAAGGATATCTCATGTAAATCTGCATTTAATGTAAATCTAACTATGTGATGGCATTTTGGTGATCATTTGGTTTCTGTTTTTGTGGCGATGCACTGTGAAATCTCATTTGTCCAGATCCCACGGCACATAGCTGTACATTTAAATTTCAAATATGTTCTGTTTCTTTCGGTGAAGAGAGACAAACCACTTGTTGTTGGAAACACAGCGTCGCTTCTGGTTAGTACATGGTGTCAGAGGAAAAAGTGATTGTTTGTAGCTATAATAAATATGAGCGTGATTTAGTTGTGTAGTTACTTAACTTTTCAGCTTTGAT